TTTGCCATCACGTGCCAGGAGAGAGGGGGGCGGGGGAGGGTCGCGCGCGCGCACGTGCCCACGTGCATACATGCGCAACCCCCTCCCCCCCTCCCACTCCTGGCACATGATGGACTGGTAGGCCCGTTTTTCTTTCTTACCTGGTTCCAGATCCTCTCTGTGTATCTGGGACGGGCGAAAACAGCCTTTCCCACTCCCTTGGAAGCCCTACGGAGGCTGAAAGGGCCCATTTCCCAACTCTCGGTGGGACAGGAAGTGACATTTGTTGCTGTCCCCAGCCTCCAGAACCTCTCTAGCAGTCTCTAGGAGCCTCTCTAGGAGTCTCTAGGAGCCTCTCTAGGAGTCTCTGGAGGCTGGGGACAGGAAAAAACGTCACTTCCTGTCCCACCGGGAGTCGGGAAATGGGCCCTTTCAGCCTCCGTAGGGCCTCCAAGGGAGTGGGAAAGGCTGTTTTCGCCCTTCCCAGATACACAGAGAGGATCTGGAGCCAGGTAAGAAAGAAAAACGGACCTTCCCCACTCCGCCCCCAGGCCCTCCAGAGGCAGGAAACAGCCTGTTTCCCTACTTCTGGTGGGCCCAGAAGGCCCGAAAATCAGCTGGCCGGCGCACGCATGCGCCCCAGAGCTGAGCTGGCGTGCCCACTAATATGGCTCCGCGTGCCACCTGTGGCACGCGTGCCATAGGTTCGCCATCACGGGGTTAGGGCCTTTGTGGCTCTTTGAGTGTTTAAGGTTGCCGACCCCTGGTCTAGTCTAGTGTTAATCTTGGTGTTAATCTCTGCTCATCTCGGGTATGAGCTGAATGCTGGTTTTGGACTTTTTCTTTCCATTTTAGCTTTTCGATTGTCTCTTTTGAGTGGTGTGAAGATGTTGCTTATCTCTATGTGCCTGTCGATGGTTGATATATGATTGATGGTCCCGATGCCTGGTGGTCGTGCGGATCTGGATGGGGAGAAACAAGCTCAGATCTGGATGGGGAGAAACAAGCTCAACCCCTCCAAGACCGAGTGGCTGTGGCTTCCGGCGTCCCGGTATAGTCAGCTGGTACCATCACTGACAATTGGGGATGAGATCTTGCTCCCCACAGAGAGGGCCCGCAACTTGGGTGTCCTCCTGGATTCACGGTTATCTTTAGAAGATCATTTGACGGCCGTGGCCAGGGGTGCCTTTTATCAGGTTCGCCTGATCCGCCAGTTGCATCCCTTTCTGGATCGGGACGCCTTGCGCACGGTCACTCATGCCCTAGTTACCTCCCGTATGGACTACTGTAATGCTCTCTACATGGGGCTCCCCTTGAAAAGCACCCGGAGGCTCCAACTGTTCCAGAATGTAGCCGCGCGGGTGATTATGGGCCCATGTAACACCTCTCCTACGCGAGCTGCACTGGCTCCCGGTGGTCTTCCGGGTGCGATTCAAGGTGTTAGTTATCACCTTTGAAGCGCTCCATGGCTTAGGACCTGGGTACCTACGAGACCGTCTTTTGCCACCAATAGCCTCCCACCGACCAGTTCGTTCTCACAGGGAGGGACTACTCAGGGTACCGTCAGTCAAATTATGCCGACTGGCGACTCCCAGGGGGAGGGCCTTCTCTGTGGGGGCTCCAACCCTTTGGAATGAACTGCCCCCGGAGATACAGAATATCCCTGATCTCCGTGCTTTCCGCTGTGCCCTCAAAACCCTGATGTTCCAACAAGCGGGGCGAAACATATGAACATGTGAATGATTTTTTTAAAATGTTATCTAATTCTGGGTTTTATTTAATTGGCCAAACTAAGCAATAATTTTAATTAGCAATTTTATGATGTTTGTGTGTCTATATTTTTCTTGGCTGTACACTGTCTTGAGTCCTATGGGAGAAAGGCGGGAAAGAAAGAAAGAAAGAAAGAAAGAAAGAAAGAAAGAAAGAAAGAAAGAAAGAAAGAAAGAAAGAAAGAAAGGCAAGCGACTTGCATATAAACAATCCCCACTCCCTTCTAGTACTGATGAAATTCCCTAGTATGGTCATGAAACGTCTGCAAGAAAGCAACTAAGCTCAGAGAGCGCCAAGGACTCCACAGTCATCCATATTCCCTCTCCCTCCTCTCCTCCTCTTTCTCCAACTCTCCCTTCTTCTCCTCTCCCCAAACTCCACTCTCTTCTAGTACTGATGATGTTACCGAGTTGGGTCATGAAACGTCTGCAAGAAAGCAACTAAGGAGCCTGGATAGCTCAGCAGACTAATGCATTGTAATTTAACTCCAGCTGTCTGCAGTTAGTAAGTTCGAATCTCGCCAGGCTCAAGGTTGACTCAGCCTTCCATCCTTTCTAAGGTAGGTAAATTGAGGAGCCAGTTTGTGGGGGCAATAAGCTGACTTTGTGTTAGGATATGGTTTGAGCCTAACTATGTTGTACAGGCAATATAAGTGTACTGTTACTTTATCTGTATATGTATTATGTGGCTTTAATGCTGAGTCATGCTGTAATCACATAATTACTGGTTGTAAGAATATTTAAGCAAAGCTTCTGTAACATGTTCAGTTGCTGCTATGATGCTGCTGTTGATGATAAGCTATCATTGAGAGGAGGTGCTATCTGTAATTATCATTGGATGGATCTGCAACCATCGTGGTTTGTGAACCAGAGTGAGTTTGTTATTCTAACCAACTACTGTTTGTTGGGTAAGAAGATTCTGTAACTACTGGACTGATTTACTGGCAAAGACTTGGAATTTGTTTAAAGACTATGAGACTGTTTTTCTACTATAAAGTAAGCTTTTGATAAACCAGTTTGCTTATCTCTTATTCATTGCTCTCAGCAACGTTTCACTGTGCAATCTACTCTGCTGGTTGGTAACACAACAACAATAACCTTAACACTTTGTATAAAATATACAAAAGTATGAAGGCTATTGCTTAACGCATTGTAAGCCGCCTTGAGTCTCCGGAGAAGGGCGGCATATAAATCAAATTTTAAAAAAAAATGTTCAGAGAGCGCCAAGAACCTCACACATCTTAAAAAGATTAAAGTTGGGAAACACGGATCTAGAGCAGGGAACTCCAAACTTTTAAGGCTTGTGGACTTCCGCAGCCATGCGTTGGAATTACGGCGAGTTCAATTCCATAAGTCTTGAAGTTGCCAAATTTGGAGAAGAGCTCTAGAGTGAGGCCTGGTACGCTACTCGGGCGTGGAAGCCACAGAAGGAGGGATACAAGAGACAGGGTGGATTTGATTTAAATCGAGTTGATTTAAATCACAATTTAAATCATGATTTAAATCACTAGTAAAAAGGCTTGATTTAAATCAACTCGACTTAAATCATAATTTTTAAAGAGCAACTATCATCTCTGCTACTCCTTTGACTCACTGTTGACTCACCGATAGTCCCAGTGTTGTAGAATATACAGCCTCATGCTACATAACTAAGCTCCACTTCATGCTGAATAAACTAAATCATTTATATATCTTAAATAGAAAACTATCTTAAGATAGATTTTTACCCCCAAAGTTTTTTATTAAAATAAATTTGATAAAAATCAAAAAATTCCGATTTAAATCAAAAAAATCCAATTTAAATCAAAAAAATCTGACTTTTTTGATTTTTTTTAAAAAAAATCATTGATTTTTATCCACCCTGACAAGAGATAACTGGTAATGAAGTCTTCTATTTAGGACCACAAGCAGGCCAAACTCTATGATTCATTTCCATGTCAACTGGGAAAGAAAAGAGAGGGAGGAAGAAAAGGAAGTATGTACTCCTAGGACTGTCTTCTGACGTAGGCTTTCCCAGCAGCACGAAGATGACTCCTCGTCCCGATAAATCCCTTTTATTTCATTTACAGTGAATTCCTCTCCAGCAAAGTCTTTCCTCTCCCCCAGTCTTTCAAGATACTGTATTTTTCGGAGTATAAAACACACCTTTTTCCCCCCAAAAAAGAAAGTGAAAATCTGGGTGCGTCTTATATTTTGAATGTAGCCCCGCCCAGCCTCGCAAACGGAGAATTCAGAGGCTGAAAGAAGCCTCTGAAAGAAGCTTCAGAAAAAAGCCTCAGAAATGAAGCAGGAAAAAAAGCCTCAGAAATGAAGCTAGACCAGGCTAGACCAGGGGTCGGCAACCTTAAACACTCAAAAGAGCCACAAAGGCCCTAACCCGTGATGGCGAACCTATGGCACGCGTGCCACAGGTGGCACGCGGAGCCATATTAGTGGGCACGCCAGCTCAGCATGGATACCAATACCCAAGAAAGGAGATTGAACAGAGTGCAGATAGTCCTTCAGTAAAAAAGCCTCTGAAAGAAGCTTCAGAAAAAAAGCCTCCAAACAGAGCTTCAGAAAAAAAAAGCCTTTTTTTTTCTGAAGCTCTGTTACGGAGGCTTTCAGAGGCAGAAAAAAAAAGCAAGGCACAGAGCTCACAACCAACGAACCTGTTGCTAAAGTTCACCTCTGGGAACCCCCTTTGGGGGTATTCCGGGAGGCCGATCCACCTGCCAATCACCTTTTTTCTTATTTTCCTCCCCAAAAACTTAAGGTGCGTCTTATACTCCGAAAAATACGGTAGTTCACGATTACCGACCTTTATCAGGCTTGGAGAGTGGCCAGGCCGATATCTTTCAGACCGCCGCAATACTTGACAAGAATTCAGGAATGAACTAATTGTCTCCTGCAAACTCCATTCCCCTTTCGCTCCTCTATTATTCCCTATGGAAGAGGCCATTCATCGTCCACCTGTGGCCTTACTCCTGAGTCGACCCTTGTTCTTTAGCTGTTCCCTTCGTCTGGCAACTCTGTGGATGCGCACACTAGGAACAGGCTCCAGCTGTTTGCCTGCCTCACTGATGTCTGACTCCGAAGGCAGCTGATAACTGGCATACGGCCCTGGCCCCCTCTCTGCCTCAGACGCAGAGTCTTCCCCAGACTCCAGGACCGGCCCATGTTCCTTCCCAACCTGCTCACTGTCCGAATCCGCTGGCGGGCCACAACAGACTGGTTCAACCATAGACAAAGGATGGGGCTGGCACGTCTTACCTGGGAATTGGGTTGGAAGGTGGTGTGGGGGGTTGAATGCTTCTGTAGGTTTTCGAGCATCAGGGCCTACAAATGAAAGAGAGGAGAGGAGAGATTAGAGAAGGTCTCTAGAATGCCCTCACCAAGTCCAAGTTCTGAACTCATCTTCCACTTACAGGATGGCTTACACAATAAAGTCGGAGGTCTTTTACTCCAACCCCCTACTCAAGCAGGAGGTACCCTACACCATATTCCAGACACCTGGCTGTCCAAGCTCCTCTTAAAAACCTCCCGTGTTGGGAGCACCCACCACTCCCGGTGGCAAGCCGTTCCACTGGTTAATTTGTTCTCACTGTCAGGCAGTTTCTCCTTAATTCCAGGTTGCTTCTCTCCTTGATTAATTTCCATCCGTCGTTTCTTGCCTTGCCTTGTGGTGCTTTGGAAAATAAGTAGACCCCGTCTTCTTTGGGGCAGCTACTGGAAGACTACTATCATGTCACCCCTAAGTCCTCCTTATCTCAAGACTGGCCAAACCCAATTTCTGCCACCGTTCTTCACACGTTGAAGTCTCCAGGTCCTTAATCATCTTAGTTGCATCTTTCGTTGGGGGAACCTACCCTGAAGGTTATTAAGCAAGACCTCTCACCTCTTGACTTATTAGGACAACGTAGAGGGACTTTAGCTGTGTTCTGACCTAGGCTTCCTGATATAGTAAAAAACACACAATTAGTCCCCCAACCCCCCCTTTTTTTTATTTTAACGGCTGTGAATTCCTTTCATTCACAGCCCGTGCTGAATCACCAAGAGTTTATAAATAGTTCAACAGAAGTCTGCCACAGTCCTTCGGATAAGGCTGGTAAACACCCACCTTTATCTCCCTTGACACGCTGCCAAAGACCTAATTGGCAATTATCAAAAGATAATTGTCAAAAACGGAGCTTCCAAGTACAAACCGACACCATCCACAACGTTGCTTCCTGCAAAGGGCCACGTGCCTTTGCTCTTCCTTTATGTCTTATGGGAGGGGCTAACCATCTCCAAGCCTTACTCCCGAGTCGTCCCTTTTGTTTTAACTGTTCTTGCCTTCTGGAAGCTCTGCACATGCACGCACTAGGAACAGGCTCCCCCTGTTCCTCTGCCTCTCTGATGTCCGACTCTGGAGGCTCCGGAGTCCACACATAACTCCACAGAGCCTGTAGTACAGTGGACTAAAAGCACTGTTATTAACAACTGCTGCTTGCAATTACTGCAAGTTCAAATCTCACCAGGCTCAAGGTTGACTCAGCCTTCCATCCTTTCAAAGGTAGGTGAAATGAGGACCCAGATTGTGGGGACAATAAACTGACTTTGTATAAATATACAAAAGTATGAAGGCTATTGCTTAACGCATTGTAAGCCGCCCCGAGTCTCCGGAGAAGGGCGGCATATAAATTAAAGCAAAAAAAAACCACACATAACTCCCAGATGGCCCTGGCCCCATCTTTGCCTCTGAGGCAGAGCCCTCGTCTGAGCCTTCCCCAGACTCCAGGACTGGCCCATGTTCCTCCCCAGCCTCCTCACTGTCCGACTCTGCTGCCAGCTCCGCAGGCTGCTGGCGGGCCACAACAAGCTGTAGCAATTCTTGGTCCTTAAGGCAGAACCATCATCAAACAAACATCACCTTTTAATGGTCATTCAATTCGCAGCGAGGAGCTCGCTCAATCGGCCTCTTTAGTAAAACACCAATCACTTTACTCAAGGTTGACTGATCTGTCTGAGAATTACTCTTGGGTTTGGGTTGTGATCTGTCCCCGTCCACACACACACACACAAACACAGCCAGCCGAGGGTTAAGAAAGTACTTGGCACGCACACAGGTCGTTATCTCAAACTTGGCAGCAATATAATCACCGTCTGCCAAGAGCTTTTACTGCAACAGATAACAATTACATACGCATTGCAAATAGTCCAGCAAAAACAATATCCCTTTCGGCAGCTTCAGACGTTGTTCAAGTGACTAGCCAAAGTTCGTTTTTGTTCGTCACGGAGTTTTACCAGCCACCACCCTCTCTTATATAGTCTCTGGGGTGTGGTCCAGTGACTCAGTTCTAATCCCTAGCACGTCTCCTTAACCGCTGCAACCGTTTATCACGCCTTCGTTGGCGTGCGTCCAGGAATGACGGCTCTCCTTCGCTCTCATCCGAGACACCTGGCTCCTGGCTAATCTCCTCTCCCTCGGCCGGCACCTGAGACAGTGCCAGAGGGGAGGGGCCTGGAGAGGGAGGCCTGGCTGACTCCTCTTCCTCATGTTCGGAGCTTTCTTCTTCCGATGAGATAGGCTCAGAGGGCGGGGCCACAACAGGTTGTTGTTGGGTTTTTTTTGATATGGCCTTGACCCAGATCTACCACGTTCCTCTGCCAACCAGGAATGGGCACCCCAAAGTTTCTGATTTAGATAGATACCCCGAAAATAAGACCCAACTGGAAAATAAGCCCTAGTATGATTTTTTTTCAGGATGCTCGTAATATAAGCCCTACCCCAAAAATAAGGCCCAGTTAAGATCGTCAACTAGATAGAGGCGTTATATTTCTATATTTCCCCCCAAAATAAGACCTAACTGGAAAATAAGCCATAATGTGTCTTTTGGAGCAAAAATAATATGACCCAGTCCTATTTTGGGGGAAACACGGTAAGTAGATAGGTAGGTAGATAGGTAAATCAGAAACTTTGGAGTGCCCATTCCTGATTGGCAGAGGAACGTGGTAGATCTGGGTCAAAAGTTAATTTAGGGAATCAAAAGTTAATTTAGGGAATTTATATTGCCGCCACATGGTGACTCAAGGTCTCTATCTCTATCTCTAACTCTATCTATCTATCTCTATCTCTATCTCTACCTCTATCTCTATTTCATCACCTCGTACTATACAGGTAATCCTCGCCTTACAACCAGAACGGAGCCCGAAATTTCTGTTGCTAAGCGAGACATTTGTCAAGTTGAATTTTTTTCATTTTACGACCTTTCTTGAGGCAGTCGATAAGTGAAGTCGCGGCAGTTGTTAAGTGATTAACATGGTTGTTAACTGAATCTGGCTTTCCCCCATTGATTCTGCTTGTCAGAAAGTCGCAAAGGGGATCGCATGACACCTGGACACTGCAACCGTTGTAAATATGAGACAGTTGCCAAGCGTCTGAATTTTGATCATGTGACCGTGGGGATGTTGCAACGGTCGTAAGTGTGAAAAACAATGAGTCCCTTTTTTTCAAGGAGAATCCAAGACCTCGGTGCCTTCCACCATGCCCTTCAAACTTGCTTTTTTCAGCAAGCCGGGCTGGCTTAATATATTTTTAAAATATTTTTAATTGGTTTGTTATTTTAAATTGGGGCCAAATTAATATATATCTTTTTAATTGTTTTTAATGTTTGTATTGTATGTTTTTATCTGGCTGTACACCGCCCCGAGTCCCTCGAGAGAAGGTGCGGTATATAAATTTGAAATAAAATAAAAATAAAATGCTGTTGTAATTTCGAAGTTGTAACTTCGAATGGTCATTAAATGACTGTTGGAAGTTGAGGACAAATTTGAAGCGTAAATTTGATCAGAACCGATCCTGTTTGGGAGAAATCGGCTATGGCACATCCCTCCATCTTTCACACAACCGACCTTTATCTAAACTTTTCAGTTGCGGTCTTAAGAGTTGAAGCTCAGCGGCAAAGCCACACACAACACACTGATGAAATAGGACAACTCGCCATGGCCAACTCGCTTCCGGGCAACTCATCACAACCAATTCAACACGACGAACTCGCTGCAGGACAACTTTCCACAGGACAACTCACCACGGCCGACTCATTTCTGGGCAACTCATCACAACCAATTCAACACAGCCAACTCAGCACGGCCAACTCTCCGCAGGATAATTCGCCACGACCAACTCACCAAGGCCAACGCACTTCCGGGCAACTCATCATAAGCAATTCAACACAACCAACTTGCTGCATGGAGGACAACTCACCACAGGACAATTCGCCACGGCCAACTCACCACGGCCAATTCGTATCTGGGCAACTCATTACAACCAATTCAACACAACCAACTCAGCACGGCCAACTCTCTGCAGGACAATTCACCACGGCCAACTCACCAAGGCCAACTCCCTTCCGGGCAACTCATCACAACCAATTCAACACAACCAACTTACTGCATGGAGGACAACTCACCACAGGACAATTCGCCACGGCCAACTCACCACGGCCAATTCGTATCTGGGCAACTCATTACAACCAATTCAACACAGCCAACTCAGCACGGCCAACTCTCCGCAGGACAATTCGCCACGGCCAACTCCCTTCCGGGCAACTCATCACAACCAATTCAACACAACCAACTTGCCACAGGACAACTCACCACAGCCAACTCACTTCCGGGCAACTCATCACAACCAACTCACCACAGCCAATTTGCTGCAGGACAAGTGGCCTCAAGACAACTTGCCACTGCCAACTCGCTGCAGGACAACTCACCATGGCCAACTCGCTTCCGGGCAACTCATCACAACCAATTCAACACACCCAACTTGGCACAGCCAACTCTCTGGACAACTCACCACGGCCAACTTTCTGCAGGACAACTTGCCTCAAGACAAGTCGTCACGGCCAACTTGCTTCCGGGCAACTCATCACAACCAACTCAACACCGCCAACTCAACACAGCCAACTCTCTGTAGGAAAACTCGCCATAATCAATTTGTCACAGCCAACTCATTGTAGGACAACTCACCACGACCAATTCACCATGGCCAACTCGCTGCAGGACAACTCACCTCAAGACAACTCGCCACAATTAATTTGCCATGACCAACTCACAGTCAATTCATTGCAGGACAACTCGCCACAGCCAACTTGCTTCCGGGCAACTTATGACAACCAATTCAACACCGCCAACTCACCACGGCCAACTCTCTGCAGGACAACTCGCCATGACCAACTCGCCTCGGCCAACTCGCTGCAGGACAACTCACCACGGCCAACTTCCTTCCAGGCAAATCATCACAACCAATTCAACACGCCAAACTCGCCACGCTCAACTCTTTGCAGAACTCGCCATGA